CCTCAGTTGATTTTCTTAACTATGAATTTGATGCATTTACACGTGCCACAAAATTTAGGCATAAATTTGATTATATATATATATATATATATGGGTTGGGTTTTATCATGACCTTTGATATTTGAGTGAGAATTTTAAAGATGGATGGAAGAGGGTGATTGATTAGTAATATAAATGTTTTGGGTGCCCAGCATGTAATCGTCTCTTCATTTTGCTAGTTCAATTGGAACAGGCTTGCTGCTCAACTCTTTGGCTGGTTTTTGGTGGTTTGCCCTCTTTGTTGGAGTAATGATATGCTATGTTGGTGGTGATGTTGATGATGCTTTTTTTGTATCGTTGTGTTGTGTGTTGTTGGCGGTGATGTTGCACCATGGTTGTGTGTGTTGATATTGGGGATGGCGTGTGTTGATGTTGGGGGTGGAGTTATTAGTGGAGACGTCGGTCTTTGTGGTTTTGTTGGCGATGCTCTTGGTGGTGTGTGTAGATGTTGGAGGTGGTTCTTCAGTGTTATGGTGGTGTGTGTAGATGTTGGAGGTGGTTCTTCAGTGTTATGGTGGTGGTGTTGTTGGTGGTGTATGTAGATGTCAGTGGTAGTTCTTCAGTGTCATGATGGTGGTGTGTGTAGATGTTAGGGTGATTCTTTAGCGTCATAGTGGTGGTGTTGTTAGTGGAGCATATAGATGTTGGGGTGGTTCTTCAGTGTCATGGTGGTGGTGTTGTTGGTGGTTTGTGTTGATGTTGGTGGTGATGTTGTTAATTGTCATATTGATGTTCGTGGTTTGTTGTGATGTTTCATTTCAGCTGGCTTTTTGACTTATGATACTTTAAATTACAATTTGTTTTTCCTTTATTATACATTTATGTGGCTTGGTTCTTTTTCATACTAGCATGGTCACAGTAAAGACAAAATAAACTGGTTTGTTTGTCATGTGGGTTAGTATGCAATATAATATTTTGTGATATCTGTCTTAAAGAGGTGGAGTTATGAAATAAATCAACAACCTATTTTAAAAATGTAAGCTGACAAAATATAATAAAGAAGTTTTGAGAGCGCACGGGAAAGGGAATACAATAGGATGCAATTGAAAAATAAGTGGGATTGGTTAAAAAATGACTGAGAAATATGAAAAGATTTGAAGTGTGAATCCACATGCTTGGTTTGATACATAATAAAGCAAAACCATCGATGCTTCAGAAGAATGATGGATCACTAAGTTTGAAAAAAAAATATTGTGATGACTTTTGGCTTATTTGAATAATGGGTGACATGTGTTTCATTCACGTGATAATACCTTAGTTGCCCTAAACCCCTTACTGCGTTTAGGGCTGTCAAAAAAGCTCGTTGTTTGCGAACAGTTCGTGTTCGATTCGCCAAGGTGTTCGTGTTCGATTCGTTCGATAAGCAAACGAGACGAACACAAACAAGTTTTTTCGTTCGATTTGTTAAACGAACCAAACACAAACAGTGATGTGTTCGTTCGTGTTCGAATCGTTATTGTTCGAAATAAAATAAAATAAATATATATAAAAAAAATCATGATATTTTAAAAATAATTATATACTCAAAAAATTTGTTATATTTTTAAAATTAAATCATGTAATTTACAAAAAATTATTAATTATAATATATTTATCCCTAGTAATATAAAAATTATGTTATTTATATAATATAAAGTATATAATTTATATAATATATTATATTAATATTTTTATATATTAGAGTTTACTGTTTAGAAAATGAAAAAAAATCTTTTATTAACCTAAGTCATGTGTCTGCGGAAGCCCTAGCCCGTCTTTCACTCTTTCTGAGCTTAGC